GCTCGCCGACTGGTATTCATCGATCCCCTCGAAAGTCATGGAGATGCTCCGCAGCGCGGTCGACAAACGAAGTAGTAGTAGGCGAGAAAGCGTGTGTCAGTCGGCGGAAGAAAAGAGAAGGAGCGATCGTTCAAAGCGCGGGTGAAATCTCGGATTCAATCTCTTCCGCTCGCTCTCGTCCCTTTACAATGCAGAACGTTCGGAGCTGCTTGTGCCGCGTCGCCTAAAGGCCTGAAATCGTTCTTTCGCTTTAGTGGGAAACCATTCGTTGCGGCGCGTCGTTTCCACTAGTGTAAGTAGAGAGATATTTCCCGGAGCGCCTCTTCTTCTCGCCAGCTTTTCCTCCCACAATCTTTCTCTGACCCCGTCCCCCACCGGCAATCGGCCCGCAGTCACCTCTTCCTATTTCCTTGTTCTTCGTCCACGCATTTCCGCCTCTTCTCTTGTATTTGCGCCTCCTACCCGCGTTCGCATTATCCCCTTTCCCATGCCGTCCCCCGTCTTGCTCCCGCTCCTTGCCCGCTTTACTTTCTGGTATCCTGTCTTATTCCTCGCACTAAACTCTCGAAGCTCCGTCCTCGCAGTCGCTCGCGAGCGTGTTCTTCTTTCTTCTTCCAGCCGGGCTCTCGAACACACCTCCCGGCTCGTTCTCCCCCTGCTCCGACAGCAAACTCCAGTCTGTTCCTCCAACCCTTCGCTCGGGAGAGACTCGACGCAAGAGCGACGGCACAATTTAGCGTGTATGGAACGCTCTTTCTTTGTAAGAATCGGGGTGTGAGAAGAGTCCTCTCCTTCCTTGAGGTGTTCAGCTCTAAGGAAAACATATGCAAACACACCAAAAGCCCCGAATTCTTCACCGGGCTTATCGTGGAAGTTCGAATAAAATCTCCTCATCATCGATCGCCTCAGCAATCTGCGCGCGAGGATGTTTTACGAGATTCTCTCACGTCGATTGGCTCTTATTCCTCTCGATTCTGTGGCGATTTTTCCGCAAAAAGCCGAACATGTTCCCTGGCATCTGGATCCCGAGCGGATTTCCTCCCCGAACCTCGCCATTGAACGGGCTTTCCAGCGAGGAATCTTCGATGCTAGGGTCGCCCGCCCACGGGTACGAGCTCGTCCAGCATTAATGAATGGCAAGGCAACGAGAATCGGAGGCTCAAAGAGTATTCCGATTGATGGACAAGTCCGACGGACAAACAGTTCTGGACGGCGAGGGCGGTTCCCACTCACTCGCTCGTTGCTCCGTGTGATCGGTACTCCGTTTCGCTTTGATCACCAGGCGGCCAGCGCCAACAACTTCGGTAATTTAGCCTTCTGCCAAGTTTTCTGCCAAGGTCACATCCACCTGCTCCGCGCCGTTTTCCCGCTCGATTCGCCAGGCAGGCGGGGACCTCGAGGGAGGGCTGTGGCCAAGTCTTTTCGTCCATGTTCCGCGCTTATCCACACAGACGGAGACCGTGGAAGGATCATATCTGGGATGCGCAAGTGTATCATCATAGTGACGGATATCGTTGTCCGAAATCGCCCGAACTCGTCACGGAATCGCGATGTGAACTCAGCCTGCCTCCACGCGGGAAGAGTACGGCAGAAAAGTGCGAAAAATCGCCTCTTCCAGGCATTACGCATATATAGGCTTCCTTTTGATGCATTCGAGGGCTTCAACGTATCTCGGCGACTAAGTGAATGTTTCGAAATTTTCCAAGGTCTTGTCACAATCTCATGTTCCGACGAAGAGTTCTCCTCGGGATTCGGGAGACGAGAAGCTCAGCTCTTAGAAATCTCTCCGGCACAGCAATTTGTCGAGAGTCGAGACCTTCGTCGATTTGCCATACACTGCCAGCTTCCGAGTTCTTACCCGCGGGGCCGTGCCGCTATTCGGTGGCGCCGGAGGCGATAATAACTGTTCTATCGGTTTCGAAAAGCGAGTAAAATTGAAAATTATACCTTGCTCCTACGCTCGGCTCTCGACCGTCCTCAGCGGTTCCTGGTCGCTGCTGCCGTCGCGGAGTCAGTCCTCTAGCTCGTTCTACCTCCCGTGCCCGCCGCTGGTTAAGCTACTGGAAGGAAGAACGACGTCGACGTCAGTGAAACGCCCCTTCCTATCGGATACGCTTTTTTCCTCTTCCAAATGTTATAGTTGCTCTGCAGCCACCCGAGCTTCTGTTTTTTCTCCTTCCAACGAGCGCGTTCCGTCGATGCTGCGCTAAATTACTGACGTGACAACTCACAGCTATACCATGGTACCCTTCGTAGAAGGTCTGCCCCGTGGAGGACTTCGGCAGGCGCTCATCAGACTTGCCGCGGTCAAGTCCGTGAAACGGAAGTACAATGTCTTTTGTATCAAGACAATAGCCGAGGATGTCAGGAACTTTTCCTGATGGCCTAGCTCCCCGGTCTCGAGTCTCGAATACCCTTCTCGAATCGGCGTCCGGATCTCTCTCAATCCATTGTGAATACTCTGTAGCACTCGCTAGCGGCCGGTATCGCCAGAGCTCCTCGACGCCAAGCTGGTAGCGTGCCTGAATGGCTGGACGTTGCTTGTCGCTTAGAGCGAACAACGCCGTAATGGTCCGTTTCACACATGAATCTCGTGTCCGTAGTTCCATTAGAGAACTTAAACAAGTAGCGAGCAACCTACGCATACATACGCTTAAGGACACCCGATGGACAGCGGCGAATGGATGGATGGAGGGAAGTACGCGTAAACGACGTTGTCGCGACGGACGGATGGCAGCTTGGGAGCCGGGCGGGCGCATCATGGAATAGGTTAGGAATGTTGTTGAATGACGGAATTCATCGTCCTCAGAATAGATCCGCGTGTATATAATTTGTGTCACCTAATGGGTTTGAGGCGACGACGCGGCGGAGCTCCGCAACGCGAAGATTCTATCTCGTTTGCGTATATTGAACAAATGATATCTTTTCCTCGCTAGGCGTCCAGGGTGGGCCAGATGGTTTATCCACGACCTGTGCCCCATGCTTTGTATACGTCTCGCGTTTCCAACAGCGAATGAGCCGAGAATTCGTACTCCGTGATGTTTCCTCGCGTCGTCTCCGGTCCCATGCTACTTTCGCGTCTTGGCGTTTGCTAGGGTATAATACAACGGGAGCAGCTGTCCGCTCAACTGCGGAACAATAATCAGCCCCAGCAGGTTCCCAAACTCTATATGGGAACATAAGAAGCGATTTCCATCCCTATGGTGTCGGAAGCGATTTCCGATTTTCCGACGTTTCACCATTCTAGATGAAACCTCAGAATTCTGCTTGCTCCTAGGGCTCAGTCGCTCCTCTGACACTTCCCGATAAGAGGCAGCTTGAAATTATCTGTGATTTATTCAACGGCAGGCTACGCTAATAAAAGCTGCTCCAAGGAAGAATTAAGAGTCGGCCTGAAGGTCACGCGTGGATACCCGACCGGCTCCACACCTAAAGCGGACATTCTGCCTGCTGCCTGCGTCGATCTCGGAGTGATTACCGCTATCATCCAAGAGATTATACTCAAATGACCGCCCGAGAAGAATATCCCGCGGAGGAAAAACTAAATCTCTCGAGTAAATTGGATCTCCAGCAGGGAACTTTGGAGCGGTCGAGAAACGAAATCAGGACTCGTGGGAAATGCCGACGAGAGTGAGGGCATACCGCTACTTCTCCGACAACGGTCGTTGAATACGAAACAAAAAGCTACAGCTCTCACTGAGGCGCTTTCAAAAAAGTCGGTGCAGGAGTTTCGCTGTTGACCTGTCAGAGGCACGAAGGCTCCGCTCTCCTTCGCGATATCGAGCTTCTCCCGGAGTCTAGTCGAGTGTCTACCGGTGATGCAATTTATTGGACTCACTCACGTATCTAACCTTCGACAGCGAGCCTGACCTCGCGAAACCAGCTGCGATTCCTCCTCCCACTGATCTCGGGAAAGTCTGTTCCGCGCCGGCTGATTAGTTTCGTCCGGAGAATCCCACAGCACTCCCCGAGTCCTAGCGACAGCCCCGTCGCTCTAGAGCACTTTTCTCATGTCAAGTAGCAAGCATCACACGATCGGGGAGCATTTTTTCGGTTTTCGCGTCGGATCGTACAGTGAACGGTCGGATAGAGGTGTGAGGAATACATGTCCGCTGCTCGTTCGACCCATTCGTGGAGAAAGTGAATCCGAATGCAATGGCGGACTCAGCCAAACAATTAGTCTATGCCGGCAAACGTCCACGTCCATTTGTCATGGTGAGCGGCTCCTTCGAATCACTATGCGTTCGTCGTTCGTTTTCGACTGCGGATGAGTGCCGCGGATCCTGTGCGGAAAATGGCTCACTCAGAGAGTGGATGGAGTTTCCGACGGCTCGTGCTCTGGCGAGCATGACATACCATCGAAGCATGAATTCTGATTGAATCGAAAAAAAAACAGCGTATGTACGAATCATTGATTAGGAAAGTTTTCGAAAGGAAGTCATCCATATCCATGACTGGCGGATTGAGCAGGAGTTCAGAGAGGGTGGGCTCGACGATTTCGAATCCGTAGGAACTCGTAAACAGCAACAACGGTCCTAATGATCTGTCTCTGACTGGGCAGTCGACTTGGTGCCGATCGATGGATCGCAAACTCCTCGGTTGTCTTCTGCGTCTGGCCAATAGACCGGACGGAAGTTCCTCGGTACACAATAAAACGATGTCCACCCGGAGTCTGATCCCGAATCTCTTCTGATCCATGGGGTCGTGCGCTGAATCGGAATGTAGGAAGATAGGAAGATTGTCCATACTCCGAGTGCGTCCGTGCCGGAGTGCGATCGCTTTGCTCTTCATCCTTCTCGATGATTTTCTTCGCAAGAAAGGATCTTCTCACGAGAAGGGAAATGGAAAATTAGAGATTAGGCAACCAAGCGTGGATGGTCGGCGTGGGATGAGCAACAGTGAATGAGTGTTTCGCTGTCCTTCTGAAGAGGGATGGTCAGGAGCGCGTTTGTCGCTTTTTTCAATCGCGAAAATTGAAATATTTTTCTTTTCCCCAACAGATGACGAACTCTCCGCCGAGAAGTGCTCCAGGACGGTCGACATCTACCAGAGCGTCGAGCTGCCACCCGTTTCCGAACGGAACCGCGGCAAACCCATCCACTGCGTGTTCCGGATAAGGGTTCGGCCGGCGCGCGAAGATTGGGTGGTGTTCGTGAGGTTCACGCGGATGCGAGTCGGAACCCCCTCGCAAGACCGGCAGAGTTGTGATGGAGGTAGGTTGAGCCGGAGTTCAAGTCGGAGTCTCCTCGAGGATTACCATACTGCACCGAGAGTTTTCGTTCTCCAGCCGAATCTTCCAGGCGACTGCACAGAGTTGTTTTCCGACAGGTTATGTTCAAATCGTGGACGGCTACACCCGGGAGACGAATATCTCGAATCGAGAGAATCCCGGATTTTACTGCGGGGAGATTGATTCACCGAAAACATTCATTTCGGAAACGCCATACGTTAAGGTCGTTTTTCACGTTGATGAATACTCGTCTGACACTTACATGCACTTCGAAGCGAACGTGAAACAACAGCAGGAAGTTGCGTCACGGTAAGTCACTCCGCTCGGGGTCATCCCCTGTCTCGCTGTCCCGATCCCGCTAATGTGTCAGTGTCTCGGTCTCGCTCGTGTTCGTGTGTCCGACTTGCAACCGGAACCGAAACGATCAGGCAGGGGGAAAGGACTCTCATTGCACATATATGAGGGGATGCCGCTAAATGTCCGTTCGTCCGTTCTGCCTTGCAGCTATGGCACATATTCGACGCTATACCCGCATCGTCGAGGTCAACCCGTCCAAAACACGTACTGCCATCGTCTGTTCAAAGATTGTTCACCCGGACGCTGCTTTGTCCAAAGCCCCGCGTATCCGGGAATTTACCCGAGGAACTTAGCCTGCAAGTACAGAATCAACGTCCGTCAGAGCCTCGTGGGACTGGATCTCACGTTCTTCGACGTAGACGGGCTTCGATGCGATAATCTTCTCATGTGTTTTCCTCGACCTGTTTCGCGCAAGGCCGACGACTGTCCCTTCGATTTCGTCCGGATCCACGACGGACCGACCGAAGACCATCCGGTGATCACCACGTTATGTGGCCGCGGAAAACTCAAGTCGAACATCGTCGCTTCGAACAGCGAAATGCTAGTTACGTTTGTGAGCTCGCCAGCGGGTCCGCTCCTCAATACGGGCTTCCATTTTAAGGTTGGTTGAACTTGGAGGGAGCGAACTCGTGACCTGAACCACCCCCCAGCCCCCCCTATTCCTCGGCCGACCCGAGCAACCCTCGATCTTCCCCGGCGCTGTCAGGCGCCAGACTACGTAGGACTAGATGTCGGTTGCGACGGTTAGTTCGTTCGTTCGCTCGTTCGTTCGTTCCACTGCAACCTAATGTGGTATTTGGTCGCGACGGACGGACGACGCGGACTCGAATGTCACCGACGACTACCACGTGTCTCTCGTAGGAGAACGTAATATGCTAATGCCGTTCTGTCCGACTCGTTGCAGGCGGATAGCGTGTACGATTCGGGCGGAGGCGAAACAATCCAACTCAGGAACGGCGGTTGCATCATCGAAAGGAGTGTGAGCACGACGGCACGCACCTACAACTCGATCAGGTCTTGGTACCCGGTCAACACGTCGTGTCAGTACAGGTTCACGGCGCCGATGGGCGAAATTATCCGCTTGGAATTCTCTCAGTTCCGAGTTGAAAGAGTTACATTCTGTGAAGAAGTAAGTACACAAGTGACAGCTCATTAATCACGCATTGTGAGCGCACGTACGGCGCGGGACGTGCAATTCACGCGTTGAGAAGACAGCGACGCTAATTGTCCGCTCGCATTCCTGAATTTCGGACGCGGCACTTGATAATTGTCGAATAATTGTTCGGGCGCTTTGCTCGGCGAATTCTTAGGCGAATCGTTAGTCCAGCCCCGACACTTCAATGCTCCCGGATATGAGTGAGCTCGTTCGATGATTAATGGAATACATACTTGAGAATAGTCGCTGAGCGTCCGGGTTCAGAAATCCCCGGATAGTCGACGATCCCCAGCGTCGTCGACGACGGAACTCGAATTCTCTCGCCGATTCTTCATTTTCGGCGGACGCGCCATTATTTAGCCGAGAGAAAAAGTGAAACCGGCGGGATCGCCAAACCGAACAGAAGGAATTCCCGTGGGAATTTCCGACTTGGATCCGTTTGAGTGAAATATTTTAGTAAACTCCGACGTGTTTCCCTCCGTTTCCAGGCGATCCGGATTTACGACTCGCACGAACTCGATCCTCGCTACATCATCACCAAGCTGTGCGACACGAATCGACCCCGGTCGGAGAGTCCGAGAACTTCGTTCGAGTCCACATCCAATAGAATGCTGGTGGATTTCTCTTCGACGGTGGGCAGCTTAGACGGCAGTTCAATTACGTTCTCATTCGAAGTGAAACATGTCAGCGCCAACATCTATGACAACAAGCTGACGCCGATGAACTGCAATAAGAAGTTCAAAGTGGCCGAAGGCGATGCCCATTCGAGGGGAGCATTTTCTCTGGCGTACGCCGATTTCGTCGAGCATTCGAGACCGGTCGGTTGTAACTACTCGTTCGATGCCCGCGAATGGCCGCACGGTCGAGTGCAGCTCACGATCAGTGCTCCGTTCGAGATCAAGACCGAAAACTGCGATTCGGAATGCCCGCACAACGGGCCGGGCCGGGTGGAGATCTTCGCCGAGACCAAGCACGAGAAGACAATTTGTCTCTGCAAGGTTGGCGCCACATTCAGAAGTCATCGAGTCGTATCGATAGGGCCCGTCCTGGACCTGGGTCTCCGGCTCAAACCTTCGCCCGAATGGCACCGAACAGCGAAACTCACACAGAGCGACCGAATGCTCGAGGTATCGTACGCGTTCTACTCGGATTCGCGCTGTGGGCCCGATCGACTGGGCTTAGATCTGCAGGGCAGTCTCCAATTCCCGCCGCTGGCTCAGTCCATGAACGTCCACTCGTCCCTGCCCATCGAAATGTCAAATGAGAGGTTTGTGCCGCTGCACTGCAGGTGGACGGCTCCACTTCTGGCCGACCACGACGTGTCATTCAGATTACAGTTCTTCCATGCGCCCTCGGGACCTTCGAGTAACTGCTCGTCGAACTATCTGTTGCTGGATGACATAGCGCTATGCCCGAACCTCCCTGTTGCGCACACGGTCCTTGTGCCGCGCCAGCACATCATGGCCCGCCACGTGAGTATTTGTCCTGTCGAGAGAGGAATTCCCTGACGAATAGATAGCCGAACTCGAGCGGACAGATGTGATCCTCCAAGAGCATCGAGCATCAATAAAGAAATCAGGAATCACGAATCAATCGCTTATGACAGAATTGATGAAATAAATCGGATGACGATCAATAATTAATTTCGCTAACGAGAACTGTTCGCTCCGGTACTCGGAGAACTAATGAATGAGCTCGATGGCGATCCGCTGACACGAAGGATCGGGCTTCGTATGCATATCCTGAATGAGAGCGGAAAAGTGTCTGTCCCGAAGTAAAGGCGAAGTCAACAGGTCGCGGTCGAGTGAGGCAACGCGTTTTCCTAATGAAGTTTACCTTATTCATTAGCAATGTTCACTCATTAGATGGGAGCATTAATCTATTTGAAGCCTCGTCGTGATAAAAGTCGCGTTCGAAAGGCAATTTGCTTCTAATGCTGCCTCGATGCTCTTCTCGCTGGCTGTTGTCCTCACATAGCGGCTCGGAAGAGCCGAACTCCGGCTTAACTTTGCGCTTGTCGAATCCATCCGTTCGTGGTGTTGCTCTCGGTGACGTTGGGAAATGAGGTTCCCACCGTGGACTGAGTGAGCGTCACGGGCGGGCTTGAGGTACATACCTACCTACGAGCAACGAGTGACAAAATCGTGGCGTATGCTGCGTCGGTTCCGCGAAAGGGGACCCTGAGAAAAATCGCAATCCATGCCCATGGGCGAAGTAGGAGAAAGAGGAGAAAAAACGCTTCGGAAATGGCTGAGAAAGTAATGCCCCACCGATTTCAGGTCCCTCTCGAGTTCCGGTCGACCGACGGTTCGGCTACAAATTTTTCTCTATGGTGGACGCACGTGAAGATCCTGCCGACACCGTCCGCGCCGGACACCCTGGTATCTCTGAGCAAAGACTGCGAGTTCCTCTGCCAGCAGTCCATGGTCTGTATCAAGAAGGAACTCGTCTGCAATGGAGTGCCGAACTGCCCAGTAAGGAGACCCGGCGGCGAGCACGACGCCGGCGCATTGGACGCTGACGGGAGCACAAACGGTGAGCACTACCCCGGTTCAGATTCAATCCCGACCGCCGGCCTGAATTTCGGAATTTCCCCCGATCTTTGGTTCCGATTGCGAAAAGTCTTGCGACGTCAAGATCTAAGCCGGAGTCCACAATACCTAATCTATTAGCGAAAGTCTGTTGCGAGCCCTTTCTCCCGCGTAATGAGCACGTTTCAGTCAGGCGCTAGAAACACTGTCGTTTATATTCAATATGAATCTGTGCCGTTAATTCCAGCGGGAGCCTTACGCAGCATGCTCCTGACACCGGATGAGGATCCTGCTCTTTGTCAAGGACTTGCAGCGAAGATGTACGTCTACTGGTGGATTATAGGCTCGGCCATCGGCCTGTGCATGGTGGTCATCGTTGCGTTCGCCGTCACATTAATCAGGTTCGTTGCTCTGACTTGCCGCTACCGCTGAAGAGAGGGGGAACAGCAACAACAGCGGAGACGCTCGCAAAACAAGAAGGAACGGCTCCGGAATCGACGTGAGCGACGCCGCACACGACGATGGCGAAGACTGTTCGGTATTGCTTTTTCGTTCGACGGAATCCATAATTCTTCGTCGTGTTCAGTGAGCAAGTCATTGTTTGGTGCGGAGCAGCTGGTCCTTGCTAGTGGCCAGTTGAAGGGGCGGGGACGAGCGAGAATGGGGACCGGAGGGAACCACCAGCCCGGATCTCTAGGTCCGACCGTAACCCTTGTCCCAGACGCTCGACTTATCGACGGAGAGCATAGAGTGAATTGCGGGGGGCTGGGTTCATGTTGGTTATGGTACGGGTTGCAGCGTGCCCGGAATCTGCTGCTGCTGCTGCTGACGACGACGACGAACAAACCATGGCGATCGAGCACAGATGTTACAGGGGCAAACTCTCCCAACAAACAGCGTTCTCTTTCAAACTCCGGTCATTTCTTGGATCATATTATTATCCTCCGCTCGCTGAGTCTCGGAATCAGCCCGAACATCGAACAGCGATCCGCGGAACTCGGCTCTGAGTTCTTGATACAGCGGCTGGACGTCCTGGGGTCCCTGCTCGTTCATTGCTTGCCGCTGTAACGAGAGAGATCCTCCCATGAGAAATTTCCACCGGGATCCATCGAAAATGCAGCGGCGCGTCCGGAGGAACCGAGATCTCACACGTCGAGATCGCGAATCGTTCCGAGTCTATTTTCCTCTTGAACTCCGAGATTACATTCGGACCCATCCCTCGATCAGAAAAAAATTTCCTCGGCGCCCGAATTCCAATTCCATGGATTAGCCGCCGGCGATCGTTTGAAGTCACCGTAATCGACGAGGCCGTCTGGACTCCTCTCAGACGATCGACTACCCACCGAGTAGCGGTCAGAGATAGTGATCTCGTTCGAGTGCGGGAGTGCCACGAGCGGATTGATCCGGCTCGGGTGAGAACGGAGATCACGAGAAAAATGCTCGAACGGGGAATCGATCTCTAGACGGATTTTCCACAAATGCGGACGCTTTATCCGAGCATTCGCAGGTTTCGAATTACCTACCTGGTGAACATTGTACGCGATAGGCGCCCTTGTTCAGTGAAGTTTGGAACATTCGGTCAGGTTAGCTTCGCTCACTGAGCGCGGAACGCGATTCCCGCAGGCCTGACCTCCGTCTCGCCTTTCAATTCAGAGCTTGTTTTCCGCTCCTCTTCCGCTCCGAATATTGGGAAATACTTCCTCGTCGGAACGGCGGCGTGTTGAAACGCGTCTGATCGAGTTATTATTCTCGGTGCCTCGTTGTCGAAGTCTCTTTCTCTCTCCCCTCTCATTCGACGGGAAGCGTCGTTCCGCTCCATCATCATGGTTATTAATAACAACATCGTTTTTTCTTTCTTCAATATTGCAGAAAGTGTGCTTACCCAAGTCGACCCGAGGCGAAAGACGACGACGTGTTCTGACGCTCAGCGAACTCTCCGTTGCGGCGAGACGGAGAAGACGAAGACTTTGAGGACAAGGTGCTCGGAGAATGATCATCTGGCTCAAGGAATCCTTATCAACTGAAGTGACTGCCATCGAAACACCGCGTGAGCTTCGCCGGAGCAGAGGATTGTGAGAAACTGTCCAGATGCCACTTCTTCTGGTTGTCAACGTCCTGACCGAAGGCAATCCCCCGAGTCCGAAACTGCGCACCGAGTCCGCTCGCACTGTTAGCAGAGCATGAGAAGCTCCGGCTGATTCCAGCGAGTCGGAAACTGACGGGACGGATGAACTCCAGCTCGGCAGCGATGGACAGAGAGAGAGAGAGAGAGAGAGGGAGACGGAGAGAGAAACGAAAACCCATATACGTACCGGGTCTCGGACTTCGAGCCGATGGCTCTCACATAGAGTGAGACCGTCTTGCAGACCGCCGGATTTCGAGGCTCTCAGGCAGACTCCGTCGTCTGGACAGGACATCCTGAACTATGTCCCGCCGCTGTGTACGATGTCCTGTTCCTCCGTATACATTGGCGGGGACTCGGGCCGGGCGACTCCATTCCGGAGCAGTAACTCGCAAGAGGCTGCAGGTGGCTCAGCGCTGCGCAGGTGGACGACGAAGTGAACATTCCGAAGCAGTTTTCACCCTCAGACAACTATTCCTCCCCCTTAGCGCGTCCCTCTCTTCTGTCCGCCCGATTCCGGGGCGGGGAGACATGGCAGATGGCGAACCAAACATTGCCGCACGCAGAGAAAACTTGCAATGCAAAACGAATATTTTGAAGCACGGCGAGCTGCTTTTTACCGCTCTGCGCCCTCTTCCCAGCCGACTCTGAGTCTGGGAAACTACCCGCGGCCACTCGTCCTCTCTACGAACGGGACGAGAACGGCGCCGGCGTCGTTCACTTCTAGAAGGTGATGGAACAGAAGGGCGGGGGATACCGATGTCACTGTCGTCCTTCTGCTTGAGCCGTTGACTTGCTTCTTCAGGTGCTATCGCAGAAAAAGCGGAGACAAGGAGAGGAATACGTTCGAGAGGGATACTTCTGCTCCTCCTCTTCCCCTTCCGATCTGCTCTGCTCGCCAAGCGTGTGGTGGACGCACTCGACGGCAACGACGACGGTTTGCCGTCCAGGAGAGAGAATTTTCGCATGAGTCGGCTTTCGAGTCCCATGGACCGCGAAAGCTCTTCACACCGTCATCGGAGTTTTTGAAACGAAAGAGACCCACAGACCATGTACGTTAGCCGGAGTTCGTATAGTGCGCGGCACACCGAGTTCTCCTCCTCTCTGAGCCGTCGCGCTGGGGGGGATCCCCGATGCCAAATCGATCTCTCAACTGCTTCGTGGTCGACCGTGATTCCTGTCTCGGATCGAGAGGACGGTTGCGACATGCGGCAATAAAGCCGGATCGCTGCCGACCATTGGCGGAGTGAATCCGGAAAAAGACTCGATACAAAAACCTACAGCGACATGAATTTCCAATCAAAATATTAACTGTTCTTGTATATGCTCTGTGAATAGTGTATATAGGGTTCGCAAGCGGATGACAAGATGATTGCTTTGACGATTTCCGGAGGTTTCGTGGTGCGTCCCCTTGGAACTGACTGACTCAGATTGACCTCTTGATCGGATATCCGCCGACGAATCCATCTCGAATCACGAATTCGAGGCTCACGTCCATTGTGTACAAGCTGTAAATACGGGTTTCGTCGACAGCTCCGAAGATCGCCAGAGTGATCGCTTCCACGGCGCAGACTGAGAGTCCAATGGGGCATATAATACGGATGTACGGATACGAATATTAAGTTGTTTCCAAGTTAAATGTGATGATGATTATTCTCATTATTTTTATTCAATGAATGGTTTCCGAGCGCAGGGAAGCAGGTTAGACACATGAGAATGGTCACGGCGAGCGCGTGGGAGCGAAGCTCCGCTGAAACCGGCTCGATGAACACTGTATCACATCGAGAAGTTGTGATTGAAGTTCGATGAATGAGGGAATGAGGAATTCTCTCGAAGGAAAACTCCGCGGACACACAATGGGATTTTGAAAAAACGTCCGGTCCAGCGAGATAGCGAAGAGGATAGAGATTCAATCACCAGGAACGATGCCGGTGTATTGAAGACCATCATCAAGAGAGAGAGCAGAGCTGTGGAATTATGAGAGTATGATGCTATTTTTGGAAAAGATGAAAAATAAAATGTTGGTGTCTTCTTACAGAGGGAATCTTGTTTTTATTTGCGATACCCCTCCCGATCCGAGACATCTACACCCGGCAAGAAAGAATTGTGTTACATTCTTCTTCAGGCATCTTGGCAGGATCATCAGAGCCCTTTCAGAAATTATGAAGGTCCCTCTAGTTCCATATGATTATCCGAATGTAAGATTCCTCTCGACGGGACTATACGCTATCGATGAAGAAAGGGTTTTCGGGAATTTCACGCGATCCCGGTTTCGAGGGTAGGCCATGCATCTGGGCGTAGCTTCCACGAGGAGGAAATCAGCCTTTTGCTAAGCCTCGCGGCCAGACGATTGCATTTGCCAAAGGAGAACTTTCAGAGCCCATCAGGGAAAGGTGGCGGAGCTTTCCTCCCCAGCGTGTTGCGTGTCTCCGTGCCACTGAAAGTGGGAAAGCGAAAGCAAGTGGATTAGAACCACGAGATCAAGTGCAGCGACCGGCGTGAGTCACTGGGCGCAAGTGCGAGTTCACTTGCGTGAACGAACGGTGACCGAGATCGAGCAAAGAGCAACGTTCCTCATCTGGCGGTCGAGTATCTCCGTAAGTTAACGCACACTCCTTCACACGCGATTGTGAACCCGAAGAGGAGCGAGAGTAAGAAAAGAATCCGGGAAAAAGTCCGTCATAAGATCTCCATTCGATCTTTCTGCGAAGGTCCCGAGCTCCGGCTCGGAGAACTTCCACCCCAACCTGGGCTCCCGCGATTTCGCGATTCATGCACTACGATATACAACCATCTCGGATCGAGCCTATTAGTCACTTTCGGCGCATAAAAGGAATTCTCCAGATCTCGAACCCACCAGAGGCGCCTCAGATGCTTCCAATCGGATTCATCAGCCCCCCCCCCCCATTCATTCGACGGCGCAGCGCAGCCGCTGCGGGATGAGCCGGAGGTGCTCCCCAAGTCTCTAAATGCTCTTAGCGATTCGCTGTAGACGCAGAGAGTGGTATGTTCCAACTGCACTCCGATAATGATATCGCGTGGAAGGAAAAATCCTCTCCTTCACTAAGAATGAGTGAAGAGATTTAATGCCGTCTTCCCCGCAATGTCCAGGTCGGGCAGCCCCGGCGATTGGAAAGAAACCGAAAATCCTAGCATGGTGAAAACTCAGCGATTGTGGAGAAAGAGTCGCTCCAGCTTTCCCAGGATCACGAGCGAATTTTCTTGATGGGCATCCCATCTCTTCCGCTGCTTTCGCTCGGATTCCCTCCTATCTGAACTTGAGAGCCTTCCGATATCCTGTAGGCAGGGGACCAATGCTTCCCGATACACCTCATGAATCACAACGCAGCTCTTGCCGCCATCAGGTATCCCCTCGAAATGCGAGGACTTGCAATGACAACACTTCCTTGTCACCGCTCGCCAAGCTTGAAAAATCCTCAGGGGGAGGGTAAAGAAGATATTCGTGTCCAGCAAAACGACTCCGAGGAAAACCGCGATGCTTGCGAGCATGCCTCATTACAAAGTGTTTAGGGCCGGGCATACATTACTAGATAGTGAAGCGTGGGAGCAAAAGCGGCGGACGATCGCCACTGTCCAGCTTACTCGAAATACCTACAACATAAATAGCAGCTGCACGGTCAGAATCGGTGCTCGTTTCGCCTGCAGGTGGAACAAAGTGATATCGGCGGCAAAACCTCAGGCTACAGCATTTCCGCGGGACTGGGGTTTCCTGCAAGAAGGAAGAAAAGGTTCTGCATTCTTCTTCACCATACCAATCCAGAGGTCAAGTAGGAAGAAGGCTGAGACTTAGCACACATCAAAAGACTCAATCGAGACCCCTCCTGAATCGCAAGCTAGAATCGCTAATGATGCAGCCTGTACAATACAGCCTAGGTAGAGTGCAGTCCCGCAAACAAGCTCGGATTTTCGTTTTCAAAGACACAGGACCGTATTTTGTGGAATTCATCATTCCGAATGCAATTTAGGGATTCACCATCGAAGGTCCTACAGCGAGTATGAGCACGTGTCGTCACCAGAGAAATATTTCATCGAAATAGTCCGCATGCCAACCCACAAACATGGGAGACTTTGTAGCACCGTGTCTGGGTCGGCGAACCATCTATCGCCGTATATCTATTGGTTCATTATGCAAACAGAATCTGTGCAGAGAGACAAAACAGTCTGGGGCTCCCTGACCGGGAAGCAGAAGACTGAAAAATAAGATGCTTGCGATAGATTCGGGGATTTGCGGTCCCCGGAATGAGACAGAGCTGCGGATCGCAATTTACGCACAGATATCCTCCGCGGTCATGCTTGGTCTCATTTAATCCATTCATGCTGCAGAGGATGATATGGGAACCCCTACGGACGGGGAATGCGCTCGCTTCTTTCCTCTGTCCATATCCCATTGGTCAAGCCCGCCAGCTCACTCTGCTCGACGGTGAACTATGATTGTGGAACAGCTAACGGGAGCTACCCGTAAGTGAGCCGGAGCTGACGTCCGAGGAGAACAGAAGACTGAGTGTCCCTTTTCCCACAGAACGGTGCTTGGAGCTCCGAGTCCATGGGGAATTGGAATTAATTCGCTGGAAGCCGACCACGCTGAGTGCAGCGTGAATTCTTAACAGCTTTCGCAGGTTGAAGACGCGAGCAAGGCAAGTGTCGCGCCTTTTCCCGTCTACGATCGGTTGGGGAATCATCCGCTGATACGAACAGGGAAAAATCGCCTAGGAACCTTTTTTAGGTGACTGCCCCGGCTCCGACTTGGCCGACGCAGCCGGTCCCTCCCGGAACGAGTT